AAAAAAAAAAAAGAAAAGAAAAACCACCTAAAGTTGGGTGAGTAGAATAGAAAATAAGTTAAAAAAAAAAATGTAACAAAAATAAGACCAACAACTCCTCCACGCTAAAACCTTTGTTTGTCTCGAACAAAAGAAAAAAACAAGAATTGAAAAAATAATTAGAAACAAGAATCGAACATAAATAACAATTTCAAATCATTCAACTTAACTATAGGAAATCCAACGACCACAAGAGTATATACCTCGATTATTAACTTGGACAAAGTGTTTTGAAATGACAAACTCTCAAACAATGAATGTATATACATCTCACTCAAATTTTTTAACATAAATACGAGATAGGTACACTCAAGTTGATCGACATTTAAAGTTAACCATAGGCTCACCAATTGTACAATTTTTACTAAAAAAGAACCAAAATTCATAAAGTGTGAATCAAAAGAAATTTTCATATGTAACATATATATGCTCTTTAAGCTTGTAAAGTATACTCTTTAGGTTGGGTAAAGGTAAATGTAAATGTAGATTAAGTGGCCAAACATATGTACTTCTTGAATTATGACTCAACTATGCTCCCCTACCTACGGTGGACACATGTAAATATGTCCACCGTTTATGTGGTATGCAAACATTGATGATGTTAATATGCTCAAAAAAATACATCACCAATGTATGTATGCCACATAAATGGTGAGCATATTAACATGTGTCCACCGTGGATAGGGGAGCGCTACTTATGAGAGCTAATCTTTTCCAAGTGAGAATATTAAGAAGTATCACATATTCTCACACACTCTTCTCATTTTTATTACATTTTTTCGTTGTCTCTCTAATATTTTTTCGTTGTCTCTCTAATAAAATATCCCAAATACATCGCAAGTCCCATAACCACACATGGCATAATGATCATCATCTCCACATCACCGCAACTACACGATTATGAAAATTAGGAAGGTTATCAAATAAAAGTTTAGGCTCAAGGGAAATAATTCGGGAAATGGACAAGGATACAAAGGTAATATACAAAAACTTCACGAATCTAATTTAAAAGTAGACTCAAGGCGAGCAGTTCCACCATTTTAGTGTGAGCTTAGAGTTTCTTCAAAGGTAGCTCGTGGGTTTTGTTAAGATTTTATAGTTTGAGATCGAATATCTGTGTGTTAGTTTATCGCGGGGAATTCGAACTAGTTTCTTATTATGTTTTTTTCTATTGTTACTTGGGATGGACATCATCATACTGAATGGAGGAATTCATACGTGCAATTCGAGTTTAAGTTAATGAACTACATAGTATGTTAGCAAGACAGTTTTCAGGAGTAAATTTTATTTGTATTTATTGGTCAAACACTTACTTAATCAAATAGCTAGGAAAATGAGTAAGAACTGAACTTACAATTTTATTTATATTAAATAAATTATATTTTCATGAAGTTTAATTGATTTTGTTATATGTACAAACATTTTACTACACTGAAATTTCAAAAATAAAAAACCAAGAAAGTGATGTTCAATAGAGAGAGACAGAGCAAAGACAATGATACGCCTGTCTCTACCACTCCCCACCGCTTCTCATTCCCTCAAACACAACCCTAACTCCCGCCGCAAAATTCCCTCCGCGCGGCCTCACAACCCCGCCGTCGCCGGATTCAAGTCTCTCAATAGCCGGATGATCCGCCATGCCGACGCCGGCCGCCTCGGAGAAGCCCCCTCCTCCCTCGACCTCATGTCTAGCGCCGGCGCCGGCGCCGGCCCCGGACCCGGCCCCGGCCCCTGCCCAGACCTCACCTCCTACTCCGTCCTCCTCCAATCATGCATTCGCACCAGAAACCTGGAAACGGGCCGGGCCGTCCACTCCAAGCTTATCGAATCGGGTATCAAGCTCGACGCGGTCGTCCTCAACTCACTCATCAGCCTCTACTCCAAATGCGGCGACAGGAGGAAAGCGGAGGAGATATTCTCCTCCATGGGCGGGTTAAGGAACTTGGTCTCGTGGAGATCCATGATTTCGTGCTATGAGCACGGTAACCTCAATTCGCAGGCGATTTCAACGTTTCTGAAGATGGTGGAGCTCGGGGAGCGGCCGGATGAGATATGCTTCGCGACCGCGATTCGGGCGTGTTCAAATCTGGAATTCTGTGCGGTCGGGCTCGTTATTTTTGGGCTTGTGATGAAGACGGGGCATTTTGGAGCCGATGTGCGTTTGGGGTGCGCACTGATTGATTTATTCACAAAGGGTTTTGGTGATTTAGATTCCGCACGGAAGGTGTTTGATAAAATGCCTGTGAGAGATCTCATTTCTTGGACTCTGATGATCACGAGGTTTAAGCAGATGGGTTCTCCTAGAGACTCGATCCTCTTGTTTCTCGATATGATTTATGCGGGTTTCGTGCCCGACTGGTTCACTTTGAGCTGTTGCCTATCGGCTGGTTCGGAGTTGGGGCTGTTGGCCGTGGGGCGTCAGCTGCACACTTGGGTCATCAAGAATGGTTTTTTATGTAATATCTGTGTGGGCTGTGGTTTAGTGGACATGTACTCCAAATGTGCTGTAAATAGGTCTATGGACGAGGCAAGGAAAATTTTCGACCAAATGCAGGACCATGACGTCATGTCGTGGACTGCAGTCATCACGGGTTATGTTCAGAGTGGAGGCCATGACTATGAAGCTATTGAGCTTTACTGTAGAATGATAACCGAGGGTGAAGTCAAGCCGGATCATTTTACATTCAGTAGCCTGTTGAAAGCGTGCAGGAATCTTTTTAATTTGAGACTCAGTAAACAAATTTACGGCCATGCAGTGAAATTGGGTCTTACTCCCGTGAATGACATTGGTACCTCTCTTAGCAGCATGCACTCTAAATGCTATAGAATAGAAGAGGCGCGAAAAACCTTTGAACTAGTCAAACGGATGCTCGATGGTGGCCTTGCACCCAACAAGGTAACTTTCGAGTTTTGATGAGTGCCACGGCAAGAAGGTTTTTGGATAAAAATGCTTTTCAGAAGCTGGCATCTTTTTACCGAGTTAATTCAAAAGAATCATTCTCTGAGTCGCTTCTGAAGAAAGGCTAGCCGGTAAGTTGTATGTATATTCTAGCACCACATAAAATTAAATCCTAACCACTATTTTTCAATTCAAATTAATTTGGGTTTTGTTTTAACAACTACTAGTTACAAGAAATATAAGCACTGAATCACTGATATTAATAAAGAGTAAGGAGGATGGGATAATCTCACGGTAGCCTTAGCCGATTCGGATTGTGGAGTTTCTGGACTGGGTATTCTCGAGGTCGGGCTCTTCTCTGTTGGCTATCTTCAACTTGTTGTCTTGGGAGGTTGTAGTGTAGGTGTAGTTAGACGGTGGTCGGGGAGGGCTTTATTATATTAATTAGTTGTGTGTGGTAGTTGTTTTGTTTGCTTTTTTGTTAATTTCATAGTTTAAGTCTAGCTCGTCTAGTCTCCATGGAGTTGTAGTTTACTTTTTGGAGTTACTTTATATCCCCTTGGTTGGCTGTGCAATTCCAAGGGAGTGGTTTTAACCTATTTACTGGTTCTAGTGGTGTCCAAGTACTCTTTGGAGTTTCTCAGTTTTAATATAACTATGTTAGAAATAAATAAATAAATAAATAGAGAGTAAGGGATAATCGTTCGTTACTAGTTCAAAGGCAAATAACAAACAATTGATAATTCTCGGTTGAGGTTCGACCAACCTACACGTCGAGAATTATCTTCTACTCGAACATAGATGGTAAATTGTCAGCATGGATAACACATAGGCAATACAATTACGAACAAATCTTTCCTATGTGAGCCTAGGTAGATTAACTTCTCCCCTTCCCCTTCTGATTCTAATTCTAAAAGTGATTTAACTAGATTAGACAGTGATTGATCGAGTAAGACTAAGAATCAAGCAACTTGCAAGTTTGAACAATTCAAAGACACAAAAATGAGAAGAACTAGAACAATTATCCCCTACTGAAATTAGCTCATCATATGAAAATTACATCTATAGACAATATCAAAATGCAAGCTTACGATTGATCCAAAGTTGAGTGATAATTCGAAAATACAAGTCAAAAAAATGTTCACCATCTCGGAGTGTCAATCTTTAAGATCCAAAAATCCAGAAAAATACTTGAAAATGCTAAAAGTTGAGTTTTCTACGGTTTGGGAATGAATCTCAAAGCTAGGCACGAGTTTCAATAAATACATATTCAAAACTAGGTGAAAATCTCTCCAGATCCATTTGTGAATGGCACCAGTCATTGGTGCTAGGCTCATCGCGGGCGTGATAGATGCAAGTGACGGCGTGCTCACGCGCGTCACCTTGGTTGGGGCACGATGTTGTGTGCGCGTCGTGGGCGCGACATTTAGGAAGGTACCTCAAAAGGCCGTGAGGGACCTTCGCGCGTGCAAGGTCTCTTGCGTGTGCGCAATGTCTCTTGCGTGCATGACCCTGGGCTTGCAATTCGGGCTTGTCTCCAATAGTCCTGATTTGTGATCCTCGGGTTTTGTCTGATGTGAATGGTTGCTTCCGTATAGTTTTCACCGCGCGCTTTGGTCTAAGGAAGTTTCAGGAGATCTCTGGGAATTATGATTATGAAAATGTATGTGCGCTACCTGCATGGTACCCGAACCGAGTGATTTCTCTAGGGATAGACGAAGAACTTGAACTTGCACACCTCCAACAACAAGAAGAAAAACGTAGAACTGAGGAAAACCAAAAAAAAAAAAGGGCAAAAAGACAATACATGATAGTTGACCTGGTGGACCAAAATTTGTAGACTACACGTCGTCTCAAACAAAAATAAAATAAATAAAAATAATAATCGAGCATGAATAACGGCTTTAAACAAGAAAAGTTTGAAATCATTCAACTTAATTGATAGGAAGTCCAACGACCACAAGAGTATATGCCTCAATTACTAACTTGGGCAAAATATTTTGAAATGACAAACTTTTATAAAACATGAACATCTATTCGTCTCACTCATTTTTTTAACATAAATGCGCTCCAGTTGATCGTCATTCAAGGTTAACCATAGGCTCGTCTATTGCACAATTTTTACTGAAAAAGAATCAAAATTCATGAACTGTGAATAAAAAAAACCTTTCAAGTTTTAACGTAGATTCTTCAGACTGAGAGTAATAAATATAGATTAAGTGATGAAACATAACCAAAATTCATGAATAACGTAGACTCCTGGGTGAGGTTAAATATAGGTTAAGTGGTCAAAGATATGTACTTTGACCCATGTTTGAAGTGCTTTTTTAACTTCTTGGAAAATTGAGAGGGTTTTATAGTGGTTGAGGTTAGGGGTATTCACGGTCTGATTTTAACTGAAAAACCGTCAATCTGGACCGCAGATCGGTTAAATGGTCGGTTAAAGAAGCCTTAAAAAGTCCAGAATAACTGGTCCGGTTAACGGATTATCTGCGGCAAACCGCCGGTTTAACCGGACCGGACCGATAAATATTAAAAAATTATAACAAATATATATATATACATTCAGTCATTCACTATGAACGACAAATACAATACATTCACTTTCACTTTTTGGAATTTTGTTAACTTAATTTTGTAAGACATTATAACTTTTCATTTTCTCCCACCTTTGTTTTTTCATTTTTAGATTTTCCGACCTCCTCTTTTTAATTTTTTGAGACGAAATGTGTATTTTTATGTTTATAGGACGAATACACCTTATTTTATTATTGTTGTTTTTTTATGCCAAAATAATCTCTTTTCGGTCCAAAATTGAAAAATAAAAATTAAGCCCAAAATGAGAAAAACAAAAAAAAAAAAAATTGAAGGCCCAAAATAAGGATTTTGGATTTAACCGGTTAACCGCCAAACCGGACCGTCCACTGCGGTCCGGATTGTGGCCGGTTAAAAAGTAAAACCGGTCCGGTTGTGGACAAGAAAAAAAATTAACCGTTAGGTCCGATTTGGTCATGATTTAGGCTAAAACCGGACCAATCCGGACCGTGAACACCATAGTTGAGATTAATGAGGTGTAACGTGCCAGTGCGTGAACATCCGGCGCCGTCCTATAACAAATCAACTTGTTATTTAATGAAAGAATTCTAAGATAAATGATACACTCCCTTACTATTTATATTAAATTTACATAAGTTCATTTTTATTATATTATTATATTTATATGAAATTATATTTGATTATGTTATACATGCAAAAATTCTATTCCCCTAAAATCTAAAAAATAAAAAACAAAAAAACCGGGAGTGTGATTGAATAGAGAGAGAACATGATAAGCCTCTCTCTGCCACTCCCCACCGCATCTCCTTCCCTCAAACCCAACCGCAAAAGCCCCTCCGCTCGACCCCACAACGCCGCCGTCGCCGCTTTCGAGTCTCTCAAGACTCAGCTGATCCGCCATGCCGACGCCGGCCGCCTCGGTGAAGCCCTCTCCACCCTCGACCTCATGTCCAACGCCGGCGCCGGCCTTGCTCCAGACCTCACCTCCTACTCCATCCTCCTCCGATCCTGCATCCGCACCCGAAACCTGGAAACGGGCCGGACAGTCCACTCCAAGCTTACCGAATCGGGTCTTGAGCTTGACGCGGTCGTCCTCAACTCGCTCATCAGCCTCTACTCCAAATGCGGCGACCAGAAGAAAGCGGAGGAGATATTCTCCTCCATGGGCAGGTTAAGGGATTTAGTCTCGTGGAGCGCCATGATTTCGTGCTACGCGCACGGTAAACTAAATTCGCAGGCGATTGCGATGTTTCTGGAGATGGTAGAGCTCGGGGAGCGGCCGAATGAGTTTTGCTTCTCGGCCGCGATTCGGGCCTGTTCCAATCGGAAATTCGCCGCCGTTGGGCTCGTGATATTTGGGTTTCTGATGAAGACGGGCCATTTTGGATCCGATGTGTGCGTGGGATGCGCGCTGATTGATCTGTTTGCAAAGGGTTTTGGTGATTTAGATTCCGCACGGAGGGTGTTTGATAAAATGCCGGTGAGAAATCCCGTTTCTTGGACTCTGATGATCACGAGGTTTACGCAAATGGGCTCTCCTCTAGACTCGATCCTCGTGTTTCTTGATATGATTGATGCGGGTTTCGTGCCCGATAGGTTCACTTTGAGCGGTTGCTTATCGGCTTGTTCGGAGCTGGGACTGTTAGCCGTCGGGCGTCAGCTTCACACTTGGGTCATCAAGAACGGTTTTTTATCGGATGTCTGTGTGGGCTGTGGTTTAGTGGACATGTACTCCAAATGTGCTGTAAATGGGTCAATGGACGAGTCAAGGAAAACTTTCGACCGGATGCACGGCCATAACGTCATGTCGTGGACTGCAATCATCACGGGTTATGTTCAGAATGGAGGCCTTGACTATGAAGCTATTGAGTTGTACTGTAGGATGATAACCGAAGGTGAAGTCAAGCCGAATCATTTGACGTTCGCCAGCCTGTTGAAAGCGTGTGGGAATCTTTTTAATCCGGAAATTGGTGAACAGATTTATGGCCACACAGTGAAATCGGGTCTTTCTCCCATAAATTGTGTCGGTAACTCTCTTATCAGCATGTACACGAAATGCGACAGAATGGAAGAGGCGCGAAAAGCATTTGAAGTCTTGTTTGAGAAGAATTTGGTCTCGTATAACACGTGGATTGACGGTTATGCTAGAAATTCAGAATCGGACAGGGGTTTCGAACTTTTTAATGAAATCGAGAAGAATTCTGATGTCAGGGTCGATGCTTTCACTTATGCGAGCCTCTTGAGTGGGGCCGCGAGTACCGGGGCCATCGGAAAAGGCGAGCAAATACATGCCCGGTTGATAAAATCGGGCTTTGAGTCCGATCTAAACATTTCCAATGCCTTGGTCTCTATGTACACTAAGTGCGGCAACATCGAGTCCGGATTTCGAATTTTCAAGGAGATGGGGAGTCGAAACGTAATATCTTGGACATCGATCATCACCGGTTTTGCCAAACATGGTTTTGCGGGAAAAGCCTTGGAACTATTCAAACAGATGCTTGACTGTGGCGTGGCGCCCAACGAGGTCACATTCGTTGCGGTTTTGTCGGCTTGTAGCCACAAGGGCTTAATCGACGAGGGCTGGCAACATTTCAACTCGATGCACGAAAAACACGGGATTAGACCGAGAATGGAACACTACGCCTGCATGGTCGACATGTTAGGAAGATTCGGTCATTTGGATCGAGCCGTCGAATTTATCGACTCGATGCCTTTTACCGCAAACGCCCTCGTCTGGCGCACGTTGCTCGGTGCATGTCGGGTCCACAACAACACCGAGCTCGGGAGAAAAGCCGCCGAGATGATTATCGAGCGGGACCCACACGACACATCAGCTCACGTCCTTCTCTCGAACTTGTACGCTTCGGCCGGCCAATGGGACCTCGCGGCAAAAACTAGAAAGGGAATGAAGGAGAGGAAATTGATCAAAGAAGGCGGGTGTAGTTGGATAGAGATCGCGGATAAAGTGCATAAATTTTACGTGGGGGATACTAAGCACTCGGAGGCCGATGAAATTTACAAAGAATTGGATCGCATGACGGTCGAAATTAAGAAGATGGGTTACGTGCCAGATACGAATTTCGTGTTGCACGAGGTCGAGGAAGAGGAGCAAAAGGAGCGGAATTTGTTCCTACATAGCGAGAAAATCGCATTGGCGTACGGGCTTATACGAACGGGTAAAGGAAAAACGATTCGGATTTTCAAGAACCTTCGGGTTTGTGGCGATTGCCATAATGCGATGAAGTACGTATCGGTCGCGAGCGGGAGGGAGATTGTCGTGAGGGACTCGAATAGGTTTCACCACATCAAGGATGGGGTGTGTTCTTGTGATGACTATTGGTGAGTTCCTTTTAGATTCTCATGTAAATGCAAGTGTAGATGTATGTTAATAAGTAACATTTGCATACAAAGTTCCACTTGGATCTTGTTATACTTTCATGTTTCATGTTATATATAGTTATACCGGAAAGAATCTGACAAATGTGATCCCAGAGCAGGAAAAACCATAAGCTTACATAGTTTAGTTTGTGTAATCAAAGTAACCTGAATTTATCAATTAGTCCAATGCATAGTGAAGTGAAATTCGAAATGATCTTCTCTTTTGTATAGCAACGTGTGCATATGGAATGCACAATCTACCTTACAAAAATATTCACAGGTAAATTAATGCTTACAACATTATGTTGGAAGGAACTATTACGGTCCTGTTACGGAACCATTCTATCAAGGTTTTGTAACCTTTAGATTATCATGTAACTGTCTGAGATAGTTGATCTAAGGGTTACAAATTCCGATGCAATATTCTATAACGGGACCGTAATATCTCCTTTTGTTGTTGGATATATGATTCGACCTATTTTCTTTTTTAGTAATTTAATAAGATATGGTGAGTTTTTTTATTATAGTAATAGTTTAATAGAAGATATTTTTGTAAAAAAAATAAGTAATATATTGCTCAACTATGGCGCGATGGGAAAATAAGGCGCATTAAATTAAATAAACAAAAAGAAGTCAACGTAGGTGAGTAGTATGTGTCACGATTTAAAAAAATTATGATACAAATTTCAAAAATCACAACCCAACAAATTTCAAAATTAGGATTCGACCCATTTTCCATGCTTATTTGTCGTGTTATTGCATATGGAACGCATAATGTAAATTATAGAATCTTAATATTATTATTGATTTTACTATTTAACTATATTGATGATATTTAAAAATGTTAAGTCGAACGAAATTCGATTGGATTTAAGTTAGCCAATCGCCGCCCCCATAACATAACATATGTTAATTCATAAATGAAATAGAAGTTTTTTTTTTTAAAAAAAAATTATATATATATATAAATATTTAAATTACACTATTATTTGACTCATAACAACTATGTAAGTGGTTAATGGGTTGCTTGGATACAAAAATAAAAGAAAAAAAAATAATCTTTGTGATTAAATTTTTTAATTAAACAGGGTTAATTTGAAAAAAAAAAAATGGTTGGATTAGGTTTGAGTAGAAATTTGAGTTTATATTAAAATAATATCTAAAATAAATTGACTCAAATTGATTTGATGTAAAATTATGAAAACGATGGTTGGACGTAATGAGTAATAAAACTTACATGAGCTAGTGGATAACGAATTAAAGTTGATTTGTTGTATGAGAATGATTGATTGATATTATTTTGTTTATTAATAATTTAAAGGATAGATAGTCAGATCATAAATTCCATGGCGCACGCCATAAGTCATTCCACATATGATGTGTCATATGTGGTGGTTTTATTAATTTTAATTCTAAACTCCAACATGAAATAGATCAGGTGGCTTTAAACATGATTTTCCACATAAAAAACAACTAACAACCCCTTAATAATTACGATTGTGCCTTATTCATATACAGGATGCTTTCATAAAATTCAAAATAATAATTGTTAATAAGTAAATAAAAAAATTCTTGAAATCAAAAAAAAAAAAAAAAAGCTAATATCCCTTCACTAATGTCAACGCTTAATCCCCATTAATCCCTTGCTTCTCCTTTGACTCAAGCACTCTCCGAGTTTCAAGTTTGTATACATAAAGGTTCGCTTATTTGACAATAATAGATATTTCAAATATACATTAGTGTTGAAAGAAGAGTTTGATATATGCCGATTGAGAAAAAATTGACCATAGATGGTGAAAGATATTTTGTTTGGCATAAGTTCCAAATTAAGCAAAGTTGAAGATATGTTCGAACAAACACTTGGAACCGCATAAAAAGGAAGATCTTGTTATATTTGTTTCCTTTTAGATTATTTTATGTACACAAATATATAAGATTGCATGGATCTTATTATGATATTTATCTTGTAGGAATTCGGATTTTATGGAAACCAGGAAAAAGAGGCATGCATAAGTATGAGATCTTTGAGAGATAAAGAGGAGATCAACACATATCATAATTTTTGCTACAAACTTGGAAGGAAATTGCAAGATGAGTCTTATACTTGAAGAAGACTCCACATTCAAGGAGTTGTATAAATACCCTACTTGAAGATCGAATCAAGGCTGTTGACGCTATTATTCACGAGAGCAATATTCGAGCTTCAAGACTTTTGTCCTTTTATCTTTAGTACACAATTCAGTTTAAGGGTTCTTACGTATCTGAGAACTAAAATTGTCTTTTGTTCTTTTGTTTATTGTTTATTATAACACATCTTGTTTTACACTTAGGGATTAAGTGTAAGTTAATAAGTCTACGGGACGTGGCCGAAAAAATAGTTGATAGGATCGCGTGTAGTTGTGGCTAGACTAGAAGAGAGTTCGAGTCTTGTAAGTCTAAACTATACAATGGTGAACGATTTATCAACGAAAAAGCTCTGAGAGAAAGTGTGAGCTTCCCTGAAGAGTTTTAAAATCTTCGGTTATTGCTTCCGCTATTTACATTGTTATTTTCACGTTCTTACAACGTTTCGCGCATTCATGGTCAAAGTTGTACGTTTCAGATGGTTAGTTGTTAACTTTTGTTGAGGGCCTTCATGCTAATTGATTATATGAATAAATTTGTTTCGTTAATTGACAAATAAAAATTAAAAGTTCTCAATAACTATTGCAAATTGATATGAAAAACAAGAAAATGGTCCATGGAATTTATGATGGTTGGATTGAATTAAGTTTGATTAGATTTTAAGTTAGAAAATAATAATAAAAAAAATAAGTACCGTGAGTTTGTATCCAGAATGCACTAAGAGCGTGCTTGTATACCGAAAAAAAAAATCCGTTCAAAATGAGTTTATTTTTCTTCTTAACCAGAGTTAATTTTGAAAAAAAGTGGTATGATTAGTTATGTGTGAGATTTTGATTTTATACAAGAATATTTAAAATAAAATAATTAAAATTAATTTGATGTAAAAGTAGGAGAGAAAATTGTTTGAAGTGATGGTTAATAGTCCCGCTCACCTGCTCACGGTGGGCAGTACCTACCATTTTTTTTACATGAAAAATATATTCTGAGAATACGTTTTTCAATTAAATTAATTGAAAAACGTATTCTCAAAATACGTTTTTCATGTAAAAAAAAATGGTGGGCATTGCCCATTGTGGGCAGGTGAGCAAATCCATGATGATTAGTTAAAATTATGTGAGATGATAGAATAATGAATTAAAATTAATATATTGTGTAGAATTATTGATTCATATTAATTAATTATATTGATAATATTAAGAATAATGAATTTAAATTAAATTTTGATTATGATACGTATTAGATTTTTTGATACTGAGTCACGCCCTAAACCTCCGCTATTCTATGGGCGATATGGCCGAGTCATCGATATTTAGGGGGTGATTGTTTAGAGCATGATTGGATATAAAATTATCTCAAAAAAATCTAAACAATTTTAACTCAACCATTTTTTTAACTCAATTTTAATTCAACCTCACTATTATTAATATTATCAATATAATTAAATAATATCAAATTAATCATTCTTACACACTACATCACCTTAATTCACTATTCATCCACTCATATAATTTTAACTAACCTGATCTTCAAATCTTCCCTCTTACTTTACATCAAATCAACTTTAATTATTTTATTTTAAATATGATTTTAATATATCAACTAACAACTAACCATACCATTTTTTTCAAAATTAACCAAACCAAACAAAAAAATTAAAACAAAACCAAAATTTTTATATCCAATCATCCTCTTATGAATTCATCTAAAAATTAATTAGTTTTTTTAACTATAGTTAAATTTGAAAAAAATTGGTATAGTTAGTTATTAGTGGATATTGAAATAGTATTTAAAATAAAATAATTAAAGTTGATATGATGCAAAAGTAAGAGAAAAACAATTGTAAATGATGGTTAGTTAAAATTATGTGAGTGGTGAATAATAAAGTAAAGTTGATGTGATGTATAAGAATAATTAGTTGAATGATTGGTTGATATTATTTAATTATATTGATAATATTGGAAATAGTATTATTGGAGGAAATTGCAAATTTGGTCCCGTTAGATTGAGACGGTTTTACTTTTAGTTCCAAGAGGCACATTTTCAGTCCTTAACTAATGTTTGTTTCGCATTTGGTCCCAAATTCATTCCTTAATTAATTTTTGTTCCGCATTTGGTCCCAAAATTTAACGGACCGTGAAGTCACCGTTAACCCTCAGGACTAAAATTGCGACCGTGAGACTAAAATTGGACCTTTCCAATTTAACGGGACCAAATTTGTAGTAGTTGATATTATTTTCAATTTTGTTTTTATTTTTTAAATTTTATTAAACTCTAGAGTTATATTTTATTTTTTTATCAACCATTATAATTATAATAAAATTAAATGATGATTTTTTAAATATATGCAATACTTAATTAAAATATTTGAAATATAGAAAGCACTGTATTGCAATTAAATTTTTTAATACATTAATGATAATATAAATTTAAATTTACTTGAATTTATATATATATCAAATATATTTAAGTTTATATTTTTGTTATATTAAAAATTATATAAATATTTATTAACGTATTTAAATATCTATATATACACACACACACACACACACAATAGATATCAACCAATTCTGACTGGTTAATTAGAAACCAGTTTGTTCAAAGGAATCCAACTTTTTGACCGATTCTAGATTCAACAGTCAGTTTAACCCAATTTTAAAAATAATAGTAGTTGATATTATTTTTATTTTTATTTTTATTTTACGTTTTAAATTTTTATTAACCTCTACAATTGTATTTTTTTTATCAACCAATATATCTATAATTAAATTAAAATTTATTTGTAAATATATTTATTATTTAATTAAAAATATTTTAAATACAAAAAAAATAATACTATAAATTTAAATATATTTGAATTTATATATATCAAATATATTTAAATTTATATTTTTGTTATATTAAAAAATATTAATATTTATTAACTTATCAAAAAATATATATTATTGACCAGTACATTCAACTAATTCTAATCGGTTCATGTTTGGCTGAGTTTTCAAACCAATAATATTTTATATTACTTCTATTTTTATTTTTATTTAAAAATTTTGTTAACCCCTACAGTTCTATATTTCTAATAAAATCAAATAATAATTTTTAAATATATTTATTATTTAGTAAAAGTTAATTTTAAATATAGAAAACATTGTATAGTTATTATTTTTATTTTTATTTTTGGTCTCGAAACTAAATTTTTACTATCACTGATTGTTTTATACTCACGGGATAAAAAATTACAATAAAAAAAGTAATAAAACTGAAGAAATTGCAAATTTGGTCCCGTTAGATTGGGACGGTCCAATTTTAGTCTCACGGTCGCAATTTTAGTCCTGAGGGTTAACGGTGACTTCACGGTCCGTTGAATTTGGGACCAAATGTGGAACAAACATTGGTTAAGGAGTAAAAATGTGCCTCTTGGGACTAAAAATGAAACCGTCTCAATCTAACGGGACCAAATTTACAATTTCCTCATTATTATTGCGTTAAATTTGAGTTTTGATTGGTTTTTTTAATTGATAAACAATAGTGTGGGGCCCAAATTTACTAGAAAGAGACACGATGGTGCGAGCGCCAGACGCACTTCATCACCCGTTGTCCCAACACGTGTCCTCCCGGTCAAAATTCCATATTTTATGGGCCCCACTCACACACATAGTCACACGACGTCCCCTGCTGCTCTAATCGCCACGTACCCCATCAAAATCCTCCATGGGCCCCACACCAAATCCCGACCCAACAAATATCAACCGTCCGTCCAGCTCCAACGAACGTAAGCCGTCCACGTGATCCTCCTCGCTTGGTGGGCCCCACCTTCCAGACCAAAAAAATTAAATCGAATATTAATAGGGAGATTCTACAGTTCCATTACGGTACCATTCCATCGAAGTTTGTAACCGGTAGATCAACTATCCATGACGGTTACATGCTGATCTAACGGTTACAAATCCCAACAGAATGGTATCGTAACGGAACTGTAGCATTTCCCATATTATTATTTAGGGAGATTTTACGGTAACCATTCCGTCAGAAGTTGTAACTGTTAGATCAACTATTCACGACTGTTACATTATGATGTAACAGTTATAAATCTCGACGGAATGGTTAGGTAACGGAAATCTCCTATTATTTATACCCCACATGACCACATCATAAGATCTTTATTTTTTCATTTCATTTTTATTGAACATATATTAATTTAGTTCAACCGGGAAAAAAATAAGGGAGGATGAGCGTCGACGGCCCGAGCAAGGACGTCCCGGCGGCGACGGTGGAGGGCGTCTGCCGCCGCCTGCGTGGAAAGTTTCCAGATCTGCGACCCAGAGGAACGAACGGCGTGGGGAGGAATTCGAAGAGCCGGCGACGGAGGAGGCTGGAGCTTCGGAGGATGAATTACCTCTCTGCGGCCAGATCCGCCGCCGGCGGACCGAGAAGGAAGATATCGGAGCTCGAATTAGGGGGGGAATCGGCCGGGGAAGGTACAATCGACGGCGGATCTGGGCACGGGACGGCGTCGCGCGTGGGGCGGCGGAGTGAGATGGAGGACGCGGTGGCGGCGGAGCCGGGTTTCATGCGGGTGCGCGGGCGGAGCTACGATTTCTACGGGGTGTACGACGGGCACGGCGGGAGGCGCGTGGCAGAGGCCTGCGCCGGGAGGATGCACGGGATGGTGGCGAGGGCGGCGGGGGGCGGCGGGGCGTGGCAAGGGGCGATGGAGGCGGCGTTTGGGGAG